ACTCTGATATCACATATACATTGATTGGAGACCGTTAAGGCGTATCGCACAGGGTTCAAAGTTTAGATTCCCCTATAGAAACCCAAAAAATTAAAATTAAATTTTTATTTTTTTTTTTTTAACTAATACCTAAAATGGATACTACCATAGTCGAAGATATCATATCGTTGCTTAAAGTACAAAACCGCGTATCGTCGTTCTGTAAAACCGCGTAACTGACATTGGCTGCCAAAAATTGGATTTGCTCACATTCGTCCTGAAATATACTAGCTAGAAATGCGATTGCTTTATAAAAACGAGAACCATTTTGAAGTATGAGTGTTTTTACGCTCTAGAAAATAATTTCTACAACTTCACATACGCGGTTTTGCACTTTAAACGACGATATATATATATATATATATATATTGGTTCCAATTGGAGTGGGTTAAGAAGTCTTCATAGGGTAACCTGAACTTTGACCCCTGTACGACACGCCTTAACCGGTTCCAATCGGGGCCAAAATTTGTACATGATATCTTCTACTATAGTAGTCTCGATTTTGGTTATTATATGAAAAAATATTAGTTTTAATTTTTTCACTTTCTATAGAGGAATGTGAACTTTGCACCCGCCGTAACGGTCTCCAATTGGGACCAAAATTTATATGTGATATCTATGTGGTATTACAGATTGAGGGGTAGAGACTGAAAAAATCGTTCATTTGGTTTTTAAGGACCGCCCTAATGTAAATATACGCACTTGGAGAAAGCAACCATATTAAAAAAATAAAGTCTTAAGGCACACCTAATGGTCAAGCACTTTCATTTGACATCTTATGTTTTTAATGCAACGAATAGTGTGGATCTTATAACTTTTTAGGCAGGCGACAACTCTATTACAAAAAAAAGTTATACCTTATTGCACGTCTGGAGGCCAAGTCCTTTTATTTGACAACTCACTTTTTAGTCCAACGAACAGCCTGCATCTTATAATTATTCGTACAGGTGGCAACCCTCTTCGAAAAAGTAAAACCTTATTGCACATCTAACTGTTAAGAAAACTTCAAGTTTTGAAATGACACAAAAAACGCCGAAACTTAATTTTTGGGCGTAGATTACGTCTCTGTATACCGTTTTTCTATTTTAAGTTCTTTACAAACACATCAGGCCATCAACGAAGAAAATTAATTGATAATTCTAAATCACGCGTATAGCTCAACTGTACGCTTTTCACACGCATATGCTCACGCATTACATTGCCGACAGTGATCGGACCTCTACCACATTGTGGTAGATCTGCCAGTTTTTTGAGCATCTATTACTCAAGGTCTGAAATCTACCACATATTCGCGTTTTTGCGTAGTTTTATTTTTGCTCGACATAATTTTCTTATTTTTTTTATATTTTTAATATTTTTATTGAGCTTTGTACCACGATTGTTTATTAGGAAAAATTGAAAAGGCAACAAAGTCTAAGCGGTAGAAGTTATAGCACTATTTCGGAGATCACCACATCTCCTCATCAGACTTCTTTTTTATAGACTTCAGCAGGGATCGAACCTGCGAATTCGATGTTCAAAGTCAGAAGCGTTAGCCACTGAGCTATGTACATCCCGTAAACTCTTGTTGCTAATTCATGAATGGTACAAAGCTCAATAAAAATATTAAAAAAAAAAAAAAAAAAAGAGAAAAAAACACAGAAAAATTTAAAAAAAAAAAGTTTAGGAAGAGCCTGCCTGAAACTATCCTCTAATGCAAATAAGCAAATGGATGTATAGAATTGACAACAACAACCACGATGTCAAGTTTAAATAGCGGCAAATCAGCTGCACTTGATAGTAGTTGGTTGAATACGGAAAAATGAATTAGCAACAAGAGTTTACGGGATGTACGCTTCTGACTTTGAACATCGAATTCGCAGGTTCGATCCCTGCTGAAGTCTAGAAAAAAGAAGTCTGATGAGGAGATGTGGTGATCTCCGAAATAGTGCTATAACTTCTACCGCTTAGACTTTGTTGCTTTTTCAATTTTTCCTAATAAACAATCGTGGTACAAAGCTCAATAAAAATATTAAAAATATAAAAAAAAATGTTAACAAGCCACAGTAACATTGACAAATACATAATTTTCTTAATTTTAAGAGCAAAAATTGTCCAACACTAAACACTGTATGGTAACAAGAATGATATAATATAAGATTCCGCATTCCCGGCGAAAGCCGAATGGGAGGACAAAATAAACTGTAAAGTAGTAAATTTTCTCAGTAATAAATTTTTCGACAGAAAACGTTGTGTTATTGTGTTAAATGGCAAAATGTATGATTTACAAAAAGAATTAATAGCGAAAATGTTAAAAAACGGCGTTTTTTGTGCCAAAATCGGCAAATCCCAATTAGCTGTTTCTGGAACGTGCCACATTTGTTCGCTACTTTGTGATATGATAAAAAGACAAGCTGGCAGCACTCCACAAGGTTGCAGAAATTTTTAAAATAAGTTCGAAAAATATCTTGTTATGGAAGGAACTGCTTTCCACTGTCAAGGAAAAAAATGCCAAAATACAGCGCAATTTTTAGCAACTTCAATCTTGCACTTTATTATACTCAAATTAAATTTTTTTTATAGTCTAATTAAAAAGTTGGCAATTTAGGTGAAACATTGTAGAATTTTTTTAATTTTTGTACAAAGTTTGATCCAAACCCAGAGATCTACCTAATTTTTTTGAAATCCACCACATTTTTTTCCAGATTCTAACACACAAATTTGTTGAGTCCGATCACTGGTTGTAAATGATCAAATGAAAATGCGTTCATATATGGCGTATGAGTAACATTCCTTCCTAGTTATCTATACTAACTAATCTATTTTTTTGTAACAGGTAATCTCACGAACGTCAGCTTTCAGCAACCACCAAGGACCAAAAAAATTTTTTTTTCCTGTAGGTGGACTACTTTTCTTCTAAATCTTATTTATGGTCCGATTTGGTACGAAGGTACCTTTTAGCCTAGCTTAACATATAGGATCATTTTTTCCGGTATTTTTTGCCGGATTTGCTGGAAATTTGGTACGTAGGTAGCTTTTTGCCTAGATTAACATATGGGCATATCCTGGGTTACGGACGCGACATTCGCACGCGTAACTAAGCTTAAAATAGGAAGGAAACTGAAAGATCGTATGTATATCACAACTGTTAAAAGGCACTGGGAAGGTGCTATACTCAACAAAATTAGTTTGAAGTATAAACAGTTAAGTACAAAGATACATGCAAATAAAAAACGGCACGGATGCGACAAAAATGGTAGTTTTTTGGGATATGCCCATATAGGGTCCTGTGGACCAGGGACCGATCTATTCGAAAAAATCGTATCGATTTGCTTGATAGTTGGTACGTAGGTAGCTTTTCGCCTAGAATAGCATATGGGCATATCCTGTTTTTCGGGTAAGTGGACTAGGGACCAATCTATTAGAAAAAATCGTATTTATGGTCCTATTCGCTTGACATTTGGTACGTAGAGGTAGTCTTTTGCATGGATTAACATATATGATAATTTTTTTTGATAGGTGGACCAGGCCCCGATCTATTCGAAAAAATCGTATTTTTTGTCCGATTTGCTTGATATTCGGTACATGTATTATAGATATAAATACAGATAGCCTTTTCATAAAAAATAAAGTAGCTTTAAAAAAGGTTTATAAATTGAAAAATGTATGAAAACGTCAATTTATAAAGCTCTTTAAACCTACTTTACTTTTTATGAATAAGCGCTGATTTCATAAAAAGAAGAATAAAGAATACTTTAAAATTTAAAGGATGCTTTATTTGGCTGATGGATTTCATAAAGCCACTTTAAAGTTAAAGTTGCCCATAAAGGCTCTTTAGTTAAATACATATTTATGACAATCAGCTGATGCAATTTCGCCGAGATCAGCATTGCCAACTTTGTTATTTTCATTTAAATGAACCTTTTGTTTATGAAAACAATTCTTGTTTAAAGTACATTTAAATTACACTTGTAACTAAAAGGAAACTTTTGTAAAAGGAACTTTAAATGCTTCATTCTGAAATTGGCTCTAAGGCCAATAGAATATAATTGAATTATTGGTTTATAGTTCGAAAGGTGTTTTAAGGCGCCGAAAAGCAAGCGGGTATTGGCTATTTATCTATACTTATTATCTCTACTAATTATATAAAGAGAAGCCCTATCTTTTTATAAGAGGTGATCTCGAGAACGGCCGTAACGATTTTTTTTTTTTGGAAGTTTGGACACATTTTGGTTATAGGCTGATACTAATTACGATATATCAAGGGAGCACAACTCGAATTTTTCATACCGCATATCTCTGGAAGGATTTGTGGTAGAGTCTTGCAGCTTGATATGGAGATTTTGAAACCAATCCCATTATAATGGAGAAAGGTGGGAGCTATTGGAAAAGGGGCTTGACGCCTTCCAAACATGCTGAAACTTTTACTTATCTGTAAATACACATACATATAATTCTTCGGTACGTGTCTTTGTGAGTGAACTCCTAAAAGACCGAAATGATTTTTATGAAATTTTTGTATGTGTTTTAGTGGGTCCCTGTATAGTTTAAGGTTCACAACTTTAAAACGGCAGATTGCGCTGGAGTTGAATTAGTACTAAAAATCGTATTTATGATCCGATTTGCCTCATAATCGAGATATATGTATGTACATATATTAGTAACGGTAGGGGCAAAACTATTGCAAAAAAGAGCCGTAAGGTGGCGCTGAAGTCGAGTCAGTGCTGGAAATCGTCAAGTGAAGTCATTCGGCGACGCCAGGGATCAAAGTCAAATTACCACTCTTAAATCTACCACCAATACCATTGCGGAAATTATTACGCATTTGCATTTGATCATATCCCACTTTATTTTCAATAAATTTTCTTCGTCGATAGCTTGATGTTTTTGTAAAAGAACAGGCTTTAACGAAAATCAAAGGAATTTACAAAAAATCTTATTGTTTCCTTATTGAAGTTTCTATTTTTTTCATTCTCAAAATAAAAATATCTTGCAAAAATGACCTGACCTAGAAAAACGGTCCCTTCAGTGTCTGAAGGCCAAGTTCTTTCATTGAACACCTAATTTTTCATAATTAAATGAACTACGCAAATCTGAAGTCATTAACAAAAAGTGCCTCGGAAGACATTGCAATCGTTCGGTAGATATGTAGGTCCTTCGAATAGAGACCGGCTCTGGTACCCTGTTCGATGCTTGAACCATCAGTGTATATGGATATATGTACATACCTCCCTCTGCTACTGGTAGTCTTGGTCAGGAACCTTATATGTAGGTACCGAATAGGTTTAATTAAAAATTTCTTTACATACTTTATTTAGCTATGCATTGTGTGTGTAGACTTTCATATTACAAGGTAGTCGAAAAGTATGTACCCTATTTCTGGAATTAACTAGTTACGAGGACTGAGGACGTGGTTATCTTTACATATTTTTTCATGCTTGTTTTTTCGGTGTGTGCAATATTTGGTATGCATATTTTCTTGGTATTTTTTCACGTTGCCTCTTCTTTTCTTAAATTTTGAATGCATATTCTAATAACACTGATTCAATATCCGTTCTATACGTTTAATGCCTGTTGCCTTGCCTTTATAAATTAAACTAATTTCCTTTTTTTCCATTTACACATGTTTTATCACACAATCTTGTTCTTATTCATCATCATTTCCTGTTGTTTTATTTGTACTAACTTTTTAAACGCGGAAATTTCATTAAAAAAAAACGTTTATTTCGGACCCTGTATGATTTCATTTGCCCACTTATTTTCCTTAATTTGGGTTTACTTGCATTCCGAATTTTCGCTTGTTTCTGTGTGTTCGTTAAAATCTCCTCGTGCATTAACACATGTATGTGTACATATACATATGTGGTGCAAAACCCTACCGTAAAATTTGGCCCTTAGAGCTCTAGTGTGTCCAAGGTCTGTCGAATTGCGGGATATGCATGGCGAAATGCACAATCTGGATGTGAAGGTCCTGGGAACCGAGGAAACGTGGAATACCCCGAGTTTGTTGTTGGCGAACAATGTGCGGAGTGGAGGGCGAGCAGTTTTCTCGCAGGTAATTAACATTTTACTTTGGAAAAACATAGGCTCGTAGTTTAAAGTCATTTGATAGGCCACGCTTTTGTGAAAAGTTTACACACATATTTTGTTTTCAAATCATATAAAAAAATTTCAATTATAGACATGCTAAAGGGGCCGTTTTCTCATGTAAAATTAAATTTATTTTAAATTTATCTGCGCTTCAAAAGCATTTTTTGAGAACAAAATTTGTGTTTAAAGGGCAGATAAATTTTAAAAGTAACTTAAGAAAACGGACCCAAAATCAAAAAAAAAAGATATCGAAATAAAATCATAGTCTTGATCAGAGCTGGGCACTTTGTGATAACGATTACATTTTGATTACTTAGGATTACGATTACTGTAAATTTTCAGCATTACGATTACTGTATTATAACGTGCTTGATTGCGAATACTTTAATTGTAATCCTTAAAATTTAACGATTACGACTACTGTAATCGTAATCGTACTTTTTATGATTACGATTATAGTAATCGTAATCCTAAAAATTTTAAGATTACAATACCTGTAATTGTAATCATGAAAATTAAGATTGCGATTATAGTAGTCGTAATCATTGAATTTTTAGGATTACTATTAAAGTAATGGTAATCAAGAAATTCATGATTATGATTACAGTAATCGAGAAATTACTTTTGATTTGAGCAAATATTGATTTTTATTAACCAAAATGGTTTTAAGTTATGAATTCGCATATTTGTTTGAAATTGATGTAATAATCTACACAGACTCGTGGTCGCAGTATTTCTAATAAAGATTGATTTTGATTAACAAAGGGGGGGAGGGACCTACAATTTTACACCGACTCGAAAGGCTATTGTATTTTTAGGAGAAGCTGTTCATGACTGAAATACACTGTGTGGTTTGCCATTGCCTGGTTTCTATTTTTTGGTTTTCTATTTTTTGATGTTGGGTTGAACCGGTTGAAATCGTTCAATGAAAGTCAAATGTAATTTCTTATTAGTTTTGATTTTTTAAATAAAATTTTAATCAGCCTTATCATGAGTCTCATTTTTCCCGAACCGATAAACAAGAAGGAATGATTAGATGAAAAAATGTAAGACAATGGTATACTTCTTTAGCCAATGAATCCGAAAACATTTCCCACTGATACCTGAAGGGCCAGTCAGGCACATGGCCCTTTCTCATAAAAATACAATCGCCGTTCGGAGTCGGCGTAAAACTGTAGATACCTCCCCTTTGTGTGGCAGCATCAAGGCGCACGCCACAAATAGGAGGAGAAATTCGGCCAAACACTAACGATACGCGCACACTGCAGCCGGCATCGGCCGGTCGTCCTATCGGATGCAATGTGCGCCTAGCGTGACAAATGTATAAGCGCCAATCTATTATTACTGTTATTAATAAAATAAACAAGTAATTTTTAAGCAAAAAAATAAAACCGATTTCAATTCCCATATAAAAATTTAAGATTTATCGTTAATTTATTCATGCTCCAATGATCGCATCTAAAACAAATTACCTTTGTTACCTTTGAGGTAACACCTTTCCTTTAAAAAAAAAAAGACTTGTAGAAATCGGTTTTCCTTATTTGAAGTCGGTTAAAAAATTGTAACCTAAGTGATGAGAGCGCGCGGCATAATTTAAATACCACTACTCTATTCGGTTTCTATTTTGCATCCATTCTATTACTTTAGTTGTCGATATTCTTTAGCCCGTAAGAAAAATATTTTTTTACTTGACGCATTCCATAAATCCTTCCGCTAAACAGACAAGCTAAATCTATGTACTGCAATATTTTTGGTTATTTGCCATTTAATTTAAAATAATCGCAGGTACATTTGGAAACCAATCCTTCGCAATTCGAAATGGATGATTCGAAGTACAAGATTTTAAAGCAGAACGAAAAAGTGCGTTTAGAAATTTTAGCTGATCTATTGAGCAAGCATTTGGATGTGAGCGTACAGAAAAAGTCCGAGGCCACAAGTGATGCCAAATGTACCTATCAGGAAGCATATTTTCTTGGACGACACGAAGTAAGTACATTGTATGGGGTATAAGAAAGCGTTTTTAACGCGAAAGTTTGCTATTTTTAGAAGACAAAAATAAGTTGTTAATTTTTCATTTAGATTGACCAGGAAAACGATAAATACCAACTATTAAAATAATACAAACTTTTATTTAAGTATAATAATTCTTTTGGGATTGCCTTAATTTAACGTGCGTCGAAATATACATATGTGTATCTGCGCATATTAAGTTTAAGTAATCTCAATACTATTATTATTTATCAAAATAACTGCCTTTATAAAACAAAAAAAAAAATTAAAAATTTTTGGAGGACACATTAATAAACGAACATATTTACATACATATGCACAGAAAAAGGTAATAATTTGACATTGGCAAGCAAACAGACATCTCGCTTTTCGCAAATTATAATAATGTCTAACCAAATATTTATACATATATCGTCGTTTAATGTACAAAACCGCTTATCGTCATTCTGCAAAACCGCGCAACTGGCATTAGTTGCCAAAAATTGGATTTGCTCACACAAGCTCTTGGCTCAATCCTTATCCATTCGTCCTGAAATATACTGGAGAGGTATGCGATTGCTTTATAAACAAGTAATTTTTAGCAAAAAATAAGTAAGAGCAGCGCTGTCTTCGGCTATGCCGAAGGCTTCATACCTTTCATGAACATCTGCAAATTTTACTTTGACAGATTACTGTTTTTGAATACATCTGCATACATCGATAGAGGAGTTACATAGTTATATAAAAAATCGCATCTAAACAATCAGAGGTATGGAAGATATACTTTATATGACACCAATCTAAGTGATTTTCACCGCTATGTGATCGGTATGTAAACCGGTAACACAATTTATTGGGTTTAGTTTTCTACATAAAGGAGATATATCGCAAAAACTGGTATCTGAACAATCATTAGTATAGGAGATAAAGATTTTGCAGCATAGATTTAGACGATTTTCTCAGTAGACTTTGTATTATTATTTATAAAATATCTTACAAAATTTATCGGTTTTAGCTGTTCAAATAAAGGAGTTTTACAGTAAAATCCCATATCTGAACAATCGGATGTATGGAAGATACAAATATGTTATAGTCACCCGATCCTTGTTATTTTCACTGTAAGTATTCTGTTAATAATGAGTGAAAACAGCGCGAAATTTCATGGTCCTAGCTACATAAATGAAGGAGTTATAACGAAAAATCTCATATCTGAACAATCAGTTGTATGGGAGCTATAGGTTATAGTTACCCCATCTTTTTAATTTTCAGTGTAAGTTTTCTGTTGGTAATTATTGAAAACAGTGCGGAATTTCATGTTCCTAGCTATATAAATGGAAAAGTTACAACGAAAAATTTTATATCTGAACAATCAGTTGTATGGGAGCTATAGGTTATAGTGACCCGATCTTTGTAATTTTCACTGTAAGTATTCTGTTGATAATGGGTGCAAGTACTGCAAAATTTCATGTTCCTAGCTGCATAAATGGAGAAGTTATAACGAAAAATCTCATATCTGAACAATCAGTTGTATGGGAGCTATATGTTATAGTGGTTCGATTCTTCCGGTTCCGACAAATGATTAATACATTATAAAAATACACCCAACTACCAAATTTTATCCGGATATCTCGAAAACTGAGAGACTAGATTGCATACAAACAGACGGACAGACGGACATGGCTAAATCGACTCAGCTCGACGTTCTGATCATATAAGTATACATTTTAATGGGTCTATCTCTTTTTATTCTGGTACTTACAAACATTGGACCAAAGTTATAATACCATTTCATACTCATGAAAGGTATAAAAACCGACTTCAACTCTCATATAAAAAAAAATATATATGTATATACATATATATCTCATGATCCACTGATCGGATCTTAACCAGATTAGGATGGGACCACCTCTCGTGGTCCAAAGTTATGCGGTAATATACATAAAAAAAAAATATTCCGACGAACTGATAACCTCCTCCTTTTTTGGAAGTCGGTTAAAAAGAGAACTATTTTGAAATATGAATGCTTTTACTCTCAAGAAGATAATTTACATAATTCACAGACGCAGTATTGCATTTTCTTGATACGCGGTTTTGTACTTTAAACGACGATATGCTTATACCAAATTATTTCCTTAGTGCGATTCAGTTTATTTTATATTTATCTTTATGAATATATATGTGCATATCTATGTATGTATGCATGTATGTACATGCTTATACATACATATGTAATCTAGATAATGTTTACTACATTCGGAAAATTACAGTCTAAATTCGAATTACTGGAGAAGCTAAAAGAATCTGGTGCTGCCGGCAACATTATCACCACTTCCAAACTGACCATGCAGTTCTGCGGCAAAGGCGATAAAGCTAAAAGCGCCAATACCAATGTGCTTCCAATACTTATACATTCCTGTCCTGAAGATTTTTCAACAGTTGCATATTTTGATGTAAGTGAATAAGCAGTTCGAATTGTGGCTTTAATTCGAATTATGTAATTAAATTAGCGTGAGAGAGTGTGAAAATAAAAAGACTTTATCCCTTCAAAAAGTTATTTAGTACTCTTCAGTCGCCAACGTTATTTTCTACGTGACACGTCTTGTCACGCTTTTTCACGCGCGAACGTGAGCGATTTTGAAAGAAAATTCACGTAAATTTCGTGATCGTGCGTAACTTGAATTTTTGCTGGCGCGAACTCGCGTGAGCTAGATTTTCCCGTCAATCTTTCATATTGGAGGCATTCTGTAATATTTATTTTTTTTTCATTTGCGTTATTAAAAAAGAGGCTTATTAGCTTGCGTAAACGTGAGCCAGCCAACAAAAGCAAAACGTGAATGTTCGTGATTTTTGAAATCATCATCGTGAGCGTGCGTGAACGTGATCCTATATCTACGCTTCAATATGATCTGTACCAAGAAAACCTTAATTTTTCTTTAAACTTAAAGATGTACGACAGAAAAAACTGTATTTATGAAAAATAAATATCGCTAGCTTAAAGTATAAACTCTAATACGGATCAACGCTGCCGTCTGTTTAAGCTTTTAGAGTGAAAAGTTGGTATGCCCAGTTTTTCAAATTTTACAGGCGAGAATAACAATCTTCCAAACTAATTTTCTTCAAGCTCTTGTTTTGCAGAAAGTGGACATAGCAACTTTACACTCGAAGCTGGCGATATGTACGCTTAAGGTGTGTCGCACAGGGGCAACGTTCCAATTCCTCTTTAGAGTGCCAAAAAATTAAAATTAATTTTTTTTTGTTCCCAATACCCAAAATTGATACTACTATAGTCGAAGATATCACATATTAATTTTGGTCCGGATTGGAGTCGATTAAGGCGTGTCGCAAAGGGGTCTGAGGTCAGATGCCTCTATGAAGCCGCAGCAATTAAAAACGTTTTAATACTGAAAATCTATACTTCTAAAGTCAAAGATATAACATATAAATTTTGGTCCCGATTGGAGTCGGTTAAGACGTCTTCATAGGGTAATCTGAACTTTAACCCCGTGCGACACGCCTAAACCGACTCCAATCGGGGCCAAAATTTTAATGTGATATCTTCGACTATAGTGGCATCAACGTAGGTGTTGAGGCTTAGGAAATCTGAGCAAAAATTTGCTTCCTACATTAAAATGACCACCCTAATGTACATACATAAATGCATATTACTTTCTTTTTTATTTAGAATCTAAAAACAAACTACATTGGACGCCTTCTCATTTACGCGCCCATTATTAGTACCAGCATGAATGTTATCAGTGATTTGGAGTTAATAAATGGTATTGCAGTTTTGGTGCGTCAACAAACGGAAGGTGTGGGACGAAGTAACAACCAGGTGGGCATTATTTTTTTTCTTCTCAGTCATATAAAAATTGTTCTGATATTTTTTAATTTTCATTATTTCCGATGCAGTGGCTTAGTCCACTAGGATGCGCCATGTTTTCCATACAATTGCATATTTCGTTGGATTCACCGCTAGGTGGACGTCTGCCGCTGCTGCAACACATTATAGGATTGGCTATGGTGAATACATTAAAGGGCAATAAATTATATAAGGTGAGTTAAAAAATATTTCTTATTAAATTAATTATTAATATGAATGAATGTACATACATATTTAGTATGATGTCCGGTTTTGATTGGATGACGTTGTTCGTCCTAAGGGGTTCCATGGGTTTGGAAATTAAAAATGCCAGATTTATAAAAGGGCAATATGCTTCTTTACAAGATTTTATTAAGTTTCACCTGTGTGTAATCAAGTCTTGGAATCAATTTTTAAACAACTTACCGATGAGCTAGAGACCTGCAACTTGAACATTAGCTCAGAACCCGATGATTATGCAATATGAGAGATAAATCAATCCGCTAGATGGCGCAGATGTTGAGTCATTTCAAATATCCGTATTTATAGACCGATATGGTTCATATTTGGAATGTATATTACTTGAAAGGAAAGAAAGGGTCGTTAGATAAAAATTATAAATCGAATATTTTCCCGATTCATTCTGCGGATAGAAAACCAAAATTTACAAACTTCCGTTGGAAATACGAGACTCTTAGGAGGGTAAGAGAAACTATCGTAAAACGCGTAACATCCCCTAACATAGGATTCTTGGTCGGGTGGGTTAGGTTATTCTAATTTTTTCTCTAATTGTTTATAAAAATATAGTTCATACAACCAAATAATATTTAAAATCTCTAAACTTAGTGCGAAACTCAGGAAAAATCAATAAATTTGAGTACTAATTTGCAACTTTCTAATCAGATTGTTTTGGAAACTTCTATATGCAGTTTTAAAACTCATTCATTTTTGGTATAACAAAGGACAAGTTCGAACTTGCTAACAAATCGCGTTGATTTTTGGCAATTTTTTTTTTATGCAGTTTCTTCCGCACAAAGTCATACAAAGTATGTTCGACAATTTCTTTTGTATGGAAATAACCACCAGCAAAAACAAATGCCAAAAATCAACGCGGATTTTGGCCAACTTCCAACTTGTACTTTGTTGTATTAAAATTGAATGGACTCTTCAACTTTATGCTTAGAATTTTTCAAACAAATCTGATTTCAAAAGTTGCAAATTAGTACGCAAAGTTATTGAATTTTCCTGAGTTTTGCACAAATTTTAGAGATTTTTTTAAATATATCTTTTGTTGTAGTATAAACTATATTCCTATAAAAATTAGCGAAAAGAAATTACAATAAGAGAATTTGCATGCATTGCGAAAAATTCTCTGTGCCAATACTTGTGACCGGCAGTGTATATGTATAATTACAATTTTTTCAGTTCTCTCCACCGCTTCGCGAAATACGTAATTTTAAGCTATAAAGTGGGTTCAAACCCATTTTTGCATTGACGGTTTACATTTTAATGGAAGCACCTGCATATATATACAGTCACTCACAGAAGTATTCGTAAATTAGTGTCCATCACAAATCTTTTTCGTTAATTTTCGTTTAAAATATAGCTCATTCTATAAGAAAAACCATATAAATCATTCTTGCAAACTTTGTACAAAATTCATAAAAATGGATCAAACTTAAAGAAATTTTCATCAAAATTTCAAAATTTTTATTCAGAATTTTTAGAAAAATTTTCGGTATGCAGTTTTGTAGTCCGTTCGAAAAAAAATTAATTTTGTTCATGTCTTATATGAAAACAAATGCGCAACACACTCGAGAAAAGAAATTCTAAAAAAATCAGCGGTAATTTTTAGCTACTTGAAACTTGCCCTTTATTATACCAAAATTGAACGGGCTAAAAAACTGCATACCGAAAATTTTTCTAAAAATTCTGAATAAAAATTTTGAAAAATTGAAAATTTTTTTAAGTTTAATTAATTTTATGAATTTTGTACAAAGTTTGCAAAAATTATTTATATGGTTTTTGTTATAGAATGAGATATATTTTAAATACACATTTACGAAAAAGATTTATTATGGAAAACATTTTGAATATTGTGCGTGACTGTGTAGGATGACGAGAACCCGTGACGAGTTGGAAGTTAAAATTTTGGCTAAATCAAATAATAATTTTCACGAATACCACTAAGTTTATTAGAGTTTGAGTTTCGGTTATGTAGATATTGATCTTTCCGAAGCAATCGTTGCCCTTGCTGCCCTTCCTCGCTATAATGTCTAAGCTTTCGTTCTTGTAGAGTAAATTTGCCTTCATTGCATTCCTGAAGCATCTCCTAAATTTTCGGCTGGTTTCAATTATGTGACCGGTACCCAAATTTTCGACTTTGATCGTTATCGTACAATTTTACTGTTATTTTCCTCAAGATCCAAGCTTATATCTGGACTTGTGGGCATCAGAGAAGTTTTTTTTTGATCTCGTTTTGAAGAATGATAAATTTCGAAGCAAAGTGGTGAAAATTAAGAAAAAACCTTGATTACTTTGGATTTTGGATTTTATTCCACTTTTTAACCGATTTCACAAAAAGGAAAAGGTTATCAATTCTTCTGAATATTTTTTTTTAATGTCGATATTCTAAAATTTTTATATGAGAACTTACAGAAATGGAGCCAGAACACAAAAACTAGACGGAAATAACAAAAGTCCTTTACGAGGTCAGCATCTTATTGTCAGGATAGTGCACCAAAATAAAAGAAAAACGTTGGTGTTGATGACACCACAGGGAACTTCGGTCTACTCTATACAATTGGGTTTGGAAAATGTCAAAAAGACATTAATTTTACTATAGTACAACGTTAAGAATCATGACTGGAATTTCGTAGAACTCCCCTGCCTGAAGGGACAACTAAAAAACGGTGGTTTTCTCTGGCGAAAAGTTTAAATTTGATGGCTACAACGGATTTAATAATAATTTTCACGTTTTTTTGAAAGGACGAACGTTGTTTGTTGATCAGGAAGAGGTCTGAACTGCGATTTCCAAAATTGTTTTCACACCTTGTTCTTGAATATGCTAGCAAAATTAAGCACCGATTCGCACCACAGGAGTTGTAAAAACCAGGATAATGATTCAGAGTTCGCCCTATTCACATGCCCTAAACTTAATGGAAAATATTTAGAATTGGATGTTTTGCAAAGTTTGTGAAGCATAACGTGAAATAAAATCCAAATCAATAGAGGCATTTTCACCACTTTTCTTCGAAATGTATCATTATTCAATATGAAATCCCAGAACGGCATTCACAGGTCGAGAGTCTATATAACTCGAGGCCGACTCCCTGGGAATGCCGTTTAGAGCCTATCGGTATGCAGTTGGGTCCAGAGAGAAAGTTTTATGAATCTCTGGACCTCGTCCGTCAGTTCGTAGAGATGCTTCCTGACGTGCCTTGGTGAGGGCCCTTCTGCGAGCAGTTGTCAGTTCGGGTGCCCGCGTCTGTGATACCCTACTAGGAACTGCTTGCAGAGCATTGTGTTATGCTCCTTAATGGGGAGCATCTGGGCCTCGTCGTGCCGGTGATGTTGGAGCGACATCAGAAGGCATCCAGTCGCAGTCCGAAGTGCCGTGTTCTGGCTAGTCTGCAGCTTCGTCCACTGCGTCCTACTTGTCACCGGCGACCACAAGGGCGCTGCATAATTTAGAACCGGTCGGGCAATTGACTTGTATGTTGCCAACAATGTTTCTTTGTCTTTACCATAAGTTCTGTGGGCCTGTTGTTGCGGCTCTGTACTCTGTTGACAATTGCGGTTGTATGCGACGGGAAGTAGAGCAGACTGTCGAAGGTAACTCCGACGTGTTTTGGGGTTTTCACCGTCGTTATTGGTTGGCCATCGACGTGAATACCCACCCAGCTGCAGTCTGACCTCATTCGTCCAGGTGGTGAATATGGTTGCTGATGATTTCGTAGCGGGGAAGGTTAAGGCTCCTTGCAGTTAAGTAGCGAGAAAGCTCGGCAAGATAGCCGTTTACTTTCGGGCACAATTCATCAATGCCATTCCCAGACGCCATTATCGAGCATTCATCAGCTTAAGAGACAATATAGACTTGTCTCTGGTGGTTGAAGGAGCTTAGAAATATAATAGTTAAACAATAGCGGGGATAGGACACCACCCTGCGGTACCCCATGTTTAATTTTTCTTGGTTTGCTTGTCTCTTAAGATTACTGACGATGGTCGACCACTCAGATAATTCACCGACCACCGTCAATGTCTTCTAGTAGCGTGGAGTGACTAACGGTGTCAAACGCCTTTGACAGATCCAGCCCTACTGGAACCGTACTCTCACAGGGGTGGTTTCGGTTAAGACGACGAGTTATCTAGGTGTTTATGGCGGCAACTGTTGCTGTTGTGCTGTGCACTTTACGGAACGCATGCTGATGCCTCGCTGGGGTCAGTTCGTTTCGAGTAGTGCGGGTGTAGAAGGGCCTATTGTGTCTTCGCTACCGGGGAATGGAGGATTATCGGACGATAACTCTTCTTTTTTGGACGGGTGGAGCGCGTAAGTTTGGTCACTTATATATTCACAATCTTCGTACCAAATGTTTAAATCTCGTTTGTTCAGAAAAAAGTTTGTTTCGCACACCATTCACTCAATGATTAAATACCAATGCTCCCAAAAAAGAGAGATTAGGGAGAGTACTATCCGATTACTTTTTTCTTCTTTGTTTTATTTTACTTTTCTGCATTCGTATCTATATTCTGTAATACATTATTTTGAATTTCGTTTCGGTTAACAATAGTTGTTTTTAGAAATCTCTTTATTTAACACTTGCCTTTTCATATATATATATGTATGTAAGTCATTATCTCAATGCATATTCTAAAATTCTTAACTTAATTCATTATAATATTTATAGTTTTCAGATGATGTGTATGTTCTTTTAAGTGCCATACTTTTAAATTAATTATGTACATATATGCATTTTTTGCAAGCTTACTTCCAGGAAGTATGTCCATTTCGTTTTTGTTTTTTTTTTGTAAGTTTAAATCTCATTGAAGTTACGGTCTTTTGTTTATTTACAAAGTCTGTATTAATTAGCCTTGATAAGTACTAAATTAAGGTTCTATTTACAAATGCATATTTCTGAAATAATATTCGCCAAGCACTGTTTGAAACTCTACTCGGAAATTCATTGACTGACTG